TTCTCATCAAGTTCACCAGTATTTTTAGTTTTTGCTTTTTCAGCTGCTCTATATCAAGAGCGTTTATTCACGGGTAAACATCAGCCTGTGACTCTTGATAAATAGCTCCCCCTTGCAGCATCCGGATTTTTGGTTATGAAATGGCAGTTTATACAGCGACAGCGCATTATGGTCTGGAAGGAGGGGGGCCCTCAGGCGCCTTCAGCTCCACAGCCCAACCTTGCTTCTTGCTAAAAAAAATGTCCCTTTTGCCTGTTTTGGGCATAAGCCAGGCTGGGAGATAACTGCAAATGGTTGCAACAACCTGTGTTTAATGTGGTGACACTAATGAATTCTGAGAATTAATCTTCAGCCAAGAAAGCATGATGGAAAGTACTAGAATTTCAAATTAGGTAATGGATTGATTTCCTTCAAGGCTGAAATTTGCTCCTTTTTTCTTGTGGTGGATTTTTCTATCATATTCAAACCACCCACCATGGCCTTGTAAATGCAGGGTCTCTTACCTATGTCTGAYAGCATAATGTGTTTTTCTATTCTGTTGTTTTGTCTCTTAGCACATAGAAACTGATCTAGACCTAAATTTTATAAAAAGAGATTAAAAATTCAGCAAATGAAAGATTTACTTATGATTTAGGGGGACAAAAGCAATTTCCCTAAAGATAGTTCCTGTTTAATTTTCTATTTAGAATGAAAAAACTCTGGGAGGAATTGARCTTGAGGATGTCCTTCCCTGTTTGAGACATTGTCTCAAATAACCGACAAGATGTACCAATAACTAAGGGCTCTGTGCCTCTCCCCTTCTTCCACTGAACTGAAGGCTCATTTCTACCCCCATTCTAAAAGTACTCTACTAACTCYGGCTGCAGAGCTTCTAAGGATGTCATTTGCTAAACCCATTGATGAAAAAATAAAAAACAAGGTTCTGTGGTGGTCAAGTTTGAAACATGGTCTCAATCAAAATTAAGAGGCTTTTTTAACCTCAGTACTTGTGAGAACTTTTAAGATGCTTGTGTACATTATGAAACTCCAAACTCACTTTTTTCTTTTTCTTTTTCTTTCTTTCTTTCTTTCTTTCTTTCTTTCTTTCTTTCTTTCTTTCTTTCTTTCTTTCTTTCTCTCTCTCTCTCTCTCTCTCTCTCTCTCTCTCTCTCTCTCTCTCTCTCTCTCTCTCTCTTTCTTTCTTTCTTTCTTTCTTTCTTGGATCACCAATGTTTCTCAAACCCGTTTCCTGGTCTGTTTCTTTCTGTCTCTCTTTTTCTTTTGCTGAATGCCTTGTCCAGCTAGACTCACATGGGTTGGCACCCATTCCCACAACTTTTATTCGCCCTTTATTTTATTCATCCTTTTGTAAAAATTTGCTCAGCCCCTGGTTGGGGAAGATATTCTGCATCTGAAATTTGCAATTCGTGGCTTAATTAGCAATTTTGAAATGAATACACACACTCCACTTTGTTTCTTTTGCGTTTGTTCTCCAAATCAGGTGAGCGGTTTCTATCTTGTTTTTAAAAAATACAAGGAGGCTGTCCAGAGTTCTGATGATGCTGGTAGTCAGTTCTATCTTCATTCACTAAATCCCTGCCTGGAAGGAGAGTTAGATGCAAAGATGAACTGACACACTTAAACAGTAAGAGTTTGGGGCATCAAATTGCATAGTATTAAGCAATAAAGCAATAAAAAGTTGATAGAGGGACTAAAGCCAGTGATTACTCCTCGATGTTCCTAGGTGGCTGCATTGCTTTGTGGGATTCGTCCACTCTGACATGTCTTCTACCTTTTTTCCACCAATCTAATTTACATCAGTCCCCCCAGTCCTGGTTCCATTTTTTCCAACCTGACTGGAGCTCCCCCGACACAGCTCCACCCCCATATTGCTTTGCAGAGCAAGAGGGGTTCTCCCATGGGATTTGGAGCATTGGCTTCATCACTATCAGGACTTGACCTCAGTTCCTCACCTCTTGAAACAGAGGATTAGAATAGAATATCTTGGTCCCTGTGTCTCTGAAATCCTGTTTTCATGTTATTAGTTCTCATCCTAAATATGTAAGCAAACACTGGCTTTTTTCTGTTTCCTATGCTTCTCTGATTCTTCTGTCTTTCCAATAAGATTATAGTTCCTTGAGGAAAAGGGTCATAATTTTTTTTTTAATGAATTAGTTTATTTTGACTAATTCTGGTGCTGTGGAATAAGTGTTTGCAGAGTAAATGAAGTAAAACAATGCTGTTATCTAGTATGACTTTCAGCCATATCTGCTCCAAGAGGAGAACTTTCCTCTGTTAGTACAATAGTAATTCCACTTCAGTCTGGCTCTTTGCCCCCAGGCGGAAAAAGTACTCAGGAGTGTCCTACCCTCAAGGCCTTCTTGCCCTTCCCCTAAAACCCTCCAGTGCAGTTGGATTGTCATACACTGCTTAGCGTTTGTCCCCCCACACACCACGTTTCAGTTTTGCTGATTCCACGGTGTGACATTCAGCCCACTCTGTGCTTAGTAAGTAAGCATGGAGAACTGACAAATCCTCTTGATCATCCCTTCCAGTTTTTGGATCTCCACGAGACAACAGATTCACGTGTGGGTTTCTTCCTTGTCTGATTCTCTCTTCATTATTCACACATTTCTCTTTCTCTGTGATCCAGAGTCTCTCCAACAWGCCAAATGACCTGGCAACAGCATTGGAAGCCTTGCTTCTCCAGTGGGTGCTAATATTGTGAAACAAGATRCACTACCTGCAGCTGCATCCCCGACCCAGCAGAGACCTATTCTCATAAGGCTGGGTGGAGTAGGGGATTCCTAGGTGCTCTCAAATTCTATTTAAGGAGTTTTCCTTATCAAAGTGCCTGGAAGGACCCGTCTTCAGTCCTCTCCTTGATGCTCCCAGGATGCCTGTCTCTGGAGGCTGCTTTGGTCCACTGTCCCCTTCACATGCTATGAATTTTTTTAAAAATGGCTACTTGTCTCCCCTTCAGCCCCAGCTCTCTGAGTTTGTTCATTTGAAATGCTGGACTAGGCACAGGGAAGGAGGCTGCCCCAGTCCTTTTGCTCTTTTTTCCCTTTTCAACAAGTACCTGCTGGTAGTTAGATGAAGCATYAAAGCTGATGCAGAAAGAAAGCAAAACCAGAAGTGTGAGTGAGTGCGTTATGAGAGCTTTCTGTCCCTGCCCATGGGGATACTCCAGTCTGGGAACCTGTTTGATGTGACCTGCCCACTGTCCCTGGGCAGTTATAGCTGGGGATTCAGCAGATCCTGGGCTCCAGTTGTTCCTGCTGAGGMTCCAGGGGGTGTTGTGTAACCCCAGGTCTCTCTTCAGCAGAAACCCTCGGAGGACATGTGACCATTCTTATTTTAGAAGTTTTCATACACCATCTCTCCAGCCACGGAAACCRGCCATCATCCTTATCACTGATCAACTAGCTACCCCTGGGGTTCCTTCTCAGGAAACAGTGATTCACATTTATTTTCCTTCAGTGGTCACATAGACAGATGAATAGACATGGCATCAAGGGAAGACTGCTGATAAAAAAAGACAGGACCAGTCTTTTTTTAGGCCTGTGCATTGATTTTGTATTGTTGATAGGGAAAATAATAGGTTATTCAAAAGACTCTGAATCTGTAAAAGTCAAATGATTGATTTTCTCTGATGGCAAGGTAGAGGTGGCATTTATAGTCCTGGAGGCAGAGGATGGGGATCCTCTAGGTGCTGTTTGCTCTTCTAGCTGCAAGCTCCAGCTGCAAGAGGCAGGGGGTCCTTGAGCCAATCCTCAGCCTGCTGGGAAAGTCACTGAATATCCTCCAGGACTAGAAGGTGAGGAATGTGAAAGAGTTTTGAAGTGAAAACTGCACAGATTAAAGTTCTTATTGTAAATCCCACGGTTGAGGATGGTTTTAGGAATCCTGCTTAAATGTTCTGAAAGGTGCTAGAGGGGATGCTGGACTTTTTGACCATTTGTGGATGCATTTAATTATTTAAAATATGTAGTGTTTTTAGATGTCACTGGCATGCCACATTTGGGTAAACTGAAGCTGTTTATTTCAAGGAGTAGGCAGAATGGCCTCCAGTATTTATCCTAAGCCTTCAAGGTGAGCTAAAGACTGTTAGCTTAACAGGGCGAATGTCGAAATTTCTTCTGCTCACCAAGGGCAGCTCCTCAGAATAGAAATGCGATGGTAATTGGAGAGGTATTCATCAGATTCCATTTCACGAGGAATTTTCTTGTGTCAAAATCATTTTCAGTAACAAAGAACACACAGCAAAATGCACTAAGTCATTGTTTTCTTTGAAAAGGGCACTGAGTCTGAAACAGAAAGTGGTYACACTGGTGCGGTTTTAACCAATTAACCGCAGAGTTCAAATGCAACCCAATTTTTACCATTTTGAATGGATGTTTTGTTCCCTGTTTGCACAATCCCATCCCAATTCATCTGAAGGATATGGTGGTCACTTCCTGTTCTGAGGYTGTTCTGCTTTTCAGAAGACGTTTGAAATCAAGCTGCTGGATTTTCTGTGTTTTAAGAGTCGTTCCCTGCCTTACAAAGCCCTTGATGCATTTCCCTATCACCGAATAATGGATGTTTCATGTTTTAAAATTTAATTGAGGTGATGGTATTTAATTCTATATGCTTCTAAAATAAAATATATAGATTAATCAACTTGACTCCATCGAAAACACTTTTCTATAATGAAAAATCAGACAGAATATTGTCTGACCAGTCTATTTTTTTTAATGTTTTGAACACTTCAAAGCAAATTGATGGCGAAATTTGTGCTTTTGATATGAATTTTAAACAATCTAAAATAGATTTCTGATATATCAATTAACTCAACTAATATGAGAATATTAGSTGTTTTTTTCTACYTTCTGGTCTACATTAATAAAGAAGGAGCTAGGTAAGGTCAGGGATTGACTTGTATAAATAAGGCCTTCTTGCCCCTTCCCTGCCACATTCACAGAGGAACAGAGTGTCTAACATTGTACTTTGGATTGTTTGTTGATTTTTACAAACAGGTGTCTTATTAAGGATTTTGAAAAGAGACCTTCCGTCACGCATCTCCTCGACCATCCATTTATTAAGGGAGCTCATGGGAAGGTTTTATTCCTGCAAAAACGGCTGGCCAGGGTGCTCCAGGAGCAGAAGCAGCTAAACTCTGCTGTTAAAATCAGGTATGGTACTTCATGTCATTCTGCATCCTCCCTCCCGTTATTTAGAAAAACGGCATGTGTTTTGATTTKCCCAGTGTTGTTATTGGTAATGATCACATCCCTGCATTTTGGAAAGTTTCATTTATGTGGCATTAAGCACTCCACGCCCAGTGGATGAGCAGGCAGGCTTGTGCTTTTGTGCTTGTGCTTTTGTGGCTAATTTCTCTCAAATAGCTGAAATCTCACTGCCCTCATGTTTGGTTTGCTCTCGCTAAAAACCAATAGATACATGTATATATTTGTATTTAATAAAAAKGCAAATTTTTCTTTTGACCAATAAAGGAAAGCAGCCATGTCTGAGATTATGTGGAAAAATCTTTACTTGGCTGTCATAGACTTGGGAACAGAAATATAGGCTATAAAGTGATTTTTGGAAATTTTACTCTTTAAATTCTAAACATTTTTTTCTTTAATGTGTTCTGAGACCTTTTCCCCTTTTGTTAAAGATCTCTTGGAGTGAATTGAGCATTTTAAAGTGATTTTTTAGCTAATGTTTATGTTATCAAAGTAACTGTGGTTCTCACCCCTCTTTCCCTCCCTTTTTTAAAGGGTAGATTTTTTTTTTTTAAATGTTATTTTCTGGGGCAAGTGCATAAAACAGTGTTCTTGGTGAGTCACTCAGAAATAGATCTTTAGTTTCTGTCCAGAGGGTGGCAGAATTTCTCTTTAAGGAAAAAAAAAATGCAAATAAACCTACTTCCTCTGCTCAGCAATTATTTGATTTTATAAAACCAGCCAGGGTACAGATAAGCTTCAATCCATTATTATTAAAAGACATCCGAAGTACTGGAGGTGAAGAAAATGAAATAGCATCAGTCACAAGTTCTAGAAATATTCATATATTCTGCAGAAAACTGTTTACAAATCGAAAAGTCAAACATTGGCAACAGCTAGCCAGAGGCAGAGTTTCAAGGTAACTATATTTTGCTGATTTCCTCCAGCTAACACCAGATTCCATTTTGGATAAATTTTTCCTACTCTTTCCTCTTTTCTCTGCCATTTCTATTTCTGTGGCTTGCCTCTGGATAGAGAAACACAGAACAATTCTTGTGCTTGGTGCCTTTTTGAAGCACTGGGAACTTGTGTTTAAGCCCCGGGAACTGAAATCCTCTTTCTTCCCTCGCTTTTGTTCYTATACACCAGGAATGGCCCCCTACCACCCACCTTCACAGACACAGCACAACCACCCCAAAGGAAAATGAAATACAATAAAACATAAACCAAGCCCCAAACAAAGCTAACACTTAAATACGGTTAAGTCAAATCCAGGGTCTCCTCCTTGGCTTCCTSTTCTGAGATCTGCTGCAGAATAGTTTCTAAGACTCCTTTGGAAAGTTAACCAGTGTTGTGTGTTTGGGTGACTTGACCTGACCAGATCTATGTTCGCTTTTTAAAAACTCTTCTCCTTTCACCATAGAGAATTGTATCTCTCTCGTGCTCTCTCGTTTGCTTCCTCTAATTTATCTTTGTTAACTCCCTTTGATGTCCAAAGCCTCATAGGTGGCAGARGCTTCTCATGGGGTCTTTATAATCTTGAGTTTCAGTCAGTAGTTTGGGTTTCTTTGAACAGTCACTTAAAAAAAATTACAACCTCACAAATAGGCATCAATACCTTAAACAGCCCTTTCCTTAGGAGGTAGAAAAATTAATTAATTCCACAGGAAGCACGATATGTGTAATTGACACTTACCCCGGCCACCTTTCCCACATGGTGACTTCCTTTTAGCAACTGGCAAGGAGTTAGCCAAATAGATGTTTTTATGAGTTCACCAGGAAAAAATGTCAGGCATCATTTAATGTTGATAAATTGATATATTTAAAGTTGTGAGTTTCCAGTAAAGGWGGAAAAACAAAGAATAATTAAGGTAACAGAATAATTAAGGAGAAAACAAAGAATAATTGCTGAGTGAAGCAAATGCCCATTAATTTTTTTTTTTTCTGCAAAAAGAGGGCCGTGCAGTAGGAAGATGTAGGAATCAAAACCACTAAGTCTGCCAGGCTTGAATCCCTGCTCACCCACTTCCTGGATRAGTTAATTTTTCTTTTCTGAAGTTTCTTCTATAAAATGGGGATTATTTTAAGGGTTGAATCTTCATGTAAAATGCTTAGAATATTGCTCAGAATAGAGTTAAATGTCAACAAATGTTAGTAGTAGGAGTAGTGCACATGGTCTATTTAATTCTTTTTAACACTAATTACCTCTTGCCCTTAATCCATGAAAAATTCATCTTTTTACCATATAAAATCATGACAATATATAGAAYTCAGGTGTATCAAATGTTAAAGATATCAATTTCTATCTCTTATTCAAAATCTAATTTATTCATTTATTCTTTATAGAGACATTTATGTGTGTAGGCCCTGTGCTAAACATGGGTACTACAAAGGGAAATTTGATGCAGTTCCTGATAAAAAGCTAATAGCTGGTGTGTGATATGGATAGGAATCAGATAAGAGCAGCTTACATGAAAAATACCTGGATAAAGAATGCCTGGGGTGCCCCTAGAGCACCTGGGAAAAGACACCTAGCCAACCTGGGATAGGGATGCTTGGGGAAGGCCCCTGGAACCAGGGGAAGATGGTGCTTGCATTGTCCTGGAGAATGAATGGAAAGAAATTGGGGGAGGAGGTTTTTCTGGATTGAGGGGAAAGGATGAGCAAAGGGCAAAGAGCAAAGGAGAGAGAGCTGGAGAGAGGTTGGGCTTGGGGAATTTGGTGAACAATTGGTTGACATCACTGGATCTCAGTGTGGAACAGGTAGAAGGGGGAGCAGGTGGACCTCAGGACCTTGGACCTGTTCCTGAGGCAGGGGAGCCCCTGAAGAGTTCGAGCAAGGTTGTGTTTCAGAAGGGCGTTCTGACAGCAGCGTGCAGCAGGGACCAGGTGACTGGGTGAGCTGTCATGGTGGGTGTAAGTGGCAGAAGGTGTTAAGGTGACAGTATTATCAGGACTTCATGATGATTGGTTAAGGGAGAGTAGGGACTGAGGAAAGTACATCAGAGCCTACCAAATGGAGCTGCTTTCCTGTCCTCGTTCACACTGCAATCAAATACAAATGGCCCAACACTAAGAGATAAGTCAAAAAGATTGCTCCCTCTCCCTATCCCATCAAAGGCAATGCCTAGTACTTACAGACATTACACACAGCTTCCAGCTCTCTGCCCACTGCAGGATTCCCCAAAGGTTCAAACAACCCTTCCCACGGCCCCTCTGCCAGAGTGAGTTAGATTTTGAGAAGGGATCCAGTGGAGTGAAACCTACAGCCCCATGGAAGGCTGCTCCCCCAAAGGCAAAGAAGGTCCTGACCACTTTTTGCACTTTCTCTAGGGGAGAGAAAAGCCTATAACTACAGGGAAGAAGGCAGGTTTAAAGGATGGGGAAGACTGCACAGGGGAAGGAAAAGGATCTTACGTAGACGGAGACACTGAGACWGAAGAGAGGAGATAACAGAGGAAGCAAGAGGGAGTGGATCAAGGGTCCAAGAGGAAGGTTGGTTGGYCTTAGAGAGAAAAACCTGTAAGTTGGGAACAATGAATAAAGGTTAGATAAAAATTCTCGGAAAATTTGAGGAGATAAAGGAGATACTATGAGAAAGCTCAAGTTGTAAGGTCTTTATCTTTCCMAAACATGAAGCAAGGTGATCTCAGAATTGGGAGTGGGCTTTGGATTCCAGAAAGGTGTTAAACCTTTGAAATAGACATTATGAGGAATATAATAAAGAGTTCATTAATGATAGAGATAACGATTGCTCAGAGGTATAGAAACACAGGTGTGGTTGTGYGTGCTTGTAATCCTAACAGCTCAGGGAGCTCAGCAGGAGAATTGCAAGTTTGAGGCCAGCCTGGACAACTTAGTGAGACCCTGTCTCAGAATTAAAAAAAAATAAATCTAGAGGTGTAAACTCTGGTAAAGTGCCCCTAGGTTCAATCCCTAGTACTGAAAGAAAACAAGAACCAATGTGGAAGGCAATTGAATAGCATTCCAGTATAGTGAAGTTATCAGTGTTTAAGATGATGCATGCAGGACAGTATCGGACACTAGAAACTCTAAGAAAATGTACCATCGCCAACACCACCATTCCCCTCTGTCATCTGGGGTGACTTTTAGCAACAAGGAACAGGAATAGAGAAAGGGGTACTGCCTACATCCCGCAGGGGCGGTGGAATCGGGATCCCTCTGCAAGGTGTGGGCTGGCAACAAAAAGACCACACAGACATGGAAGTATTTTTTTCACAAAACGGGGGTGGTGGGTGGTGTGGTGAGAYGGCTCTGTGACCTTGAGCTTCCTCATAGTATTTCCTTTATTTCCTCAAATTTTGTGAGTATTTTTTTTAATCTAACTTTTATGCATCTTTCCCAACTTACAGGTTTTTTCTCTCTAAGGCCAACCAACCTTCCTCTTGGACCCTTGATCCACTCCCTCTTGCTTCCTCTGTTATCTCCTCTCTTCTGTCTCAGTGTCTCCTTCTACATAAGATCTTTTTCCTTCCCCTGTGCAGTCTTCCCCATCCTGCTATCATGCTAGAAGGCAAGAGAGCAAAGATAAAGCATACACCGGGAATCCCTTTATTTATACGGAAATTAACAAAGAATTCTTAATAGAATGTTATTCACCAAATTAGGAAGGGAATGGGCTGGTCTAGCCCCAGTGGGTAATGCGTAGGTCCAGAGCCATGAAAAAGCAGACTTCTTTGTCAAGCAGAGGTGGAGGCCACCTGCATCATGCAGCCCACAGCATGCAATGCCAGACCAATACCCCCTTGGCTCAAGGCTGAGAGAGAATGCTTAGCATGGCTTATGGGTGGTCACCCACAAAGGGGATTGTGTGGTCTTCTCCAGGGTGGAGCTTGGCTTCAATGGACCTGATGGGTGGACAAAAGAAAGGCAGTCAAGCTGTTGTGGGGCAGGTCACTTAGAAAACACATCAAGTGCCAGTTTTGTCCACATTGAAGAGTCTTTAT